GGGGTCTGAGTAAAGCTGACCTGAAATTCCCATCAAGATCTCAGAGGTCAGCTCAGGAGCAGGAACACAGCATTGTTTTCACAGAGAGGAAAATTGGATTAGATGAGAAGTTTGAGTGTAATTACACCTTCTTTTTTTTTTTTTTTTTTTTTACTTTAAGTTTTGGGAGTCATCTGTAGAATGTGCAGCTTTGTTACAAAGGTATACATGTGCCATAGTGGTTTGCTGCACCTGTCAATCCATTATCTAGGCTTGAAGCCCCGCATCCTTCGGATATTTGTCCTAATGCTCTCCCTTCCCTTGCCTCCCTCCCCCTGACAGGCCACGGTGTATGATGCTCCCCTCTCTGTGTCCATGTGTTCTCATTAATCAACTCCCACTTATGAGTGAGAACATGTGGTGTTTGGTTTTCTGTACCTGTGCTAGTTTGCTGCAAATGATGGTTTCCAGTGTCATCCATGTCACCGTAAAGAACACGAACTCATTCTTTTTTATGGCTGCATAGTATTCCATGGTGTATATATGCCACATTTCCTTTATCCAGTCTATCATTGATGGGCATTTGAGTGGGTTCCAAGTCTTTGCTATTGTAAACTGTGCTGCAATAAACATACATGTGTATGTGTCTTTATAGTAGAATGATTTGTAATCCTTGGATATATACCCAGTAATGAGATTGCGAGGTTCAATGGTATTTCCGGTTCTAGATCCTTGAGGAATTGCCACACTGTCTTCCATAATGGTTGAACTAATTTATACTCTCACAGACATTGTAAAAGATTTTCTATGTCTCCACAGCCTTGCCAACATCTGTTGTTTCCTGACTTTGTAATAATCACATACTAAATCCTCTCGATATACAATATCATATAGCCACAGCTCTCAAGAAAGAAATCTGTAGAAAGTGGTTTCTTTCCAGGAGAAATCTTTGGCAGCTTTCATGGCTGATTATATTACATGTTAATGACAATAAAGTTTTTCCTGGAGCTTCATTACTATTCTTAATGTCTATCTCATAATGTACATTTGGAGACTGCCTAGAAAAATGTGGTCTCTGATTGGATGCTGGTAAAGTGGTGACAAGATACCTAACAAAGTGAGTATGCTTGACTATTTTCCATCATTTACTATTTTGGGATAAGCTTAACATCCTCAGTGCCTGCCTCTGCCCCTCACAAGTAATTAGCATATGCCTAAATAAAGTTTAAGCAAGCTAGCTCCACTATTCCCAAGCACATATTATCTAGGGTCTAGTCTTTAGAAGTATAAAGTACAAAGCTTCAAAGTACAACTGGCCAGGTGTGGTGGCTCACGTCTGTAATCCCAGCACTTTGGGAGGCCAAGGCAGGCAGATCACGAGGTCAGGAGATGGAGACCATTCTACCTAACACGGTGAATCCCCGTTTCTACTAAAAAAATACAAAAAAATTAGCTGGGCATGGTGGCGGGGGCCTGTAGTCCCAGCTACTCGGGAGGCTGAGGCAGGAGAATGGCGTGAACCTGGGAGGTAGAGCTTGCAGTGAGCCGAGATTGTGCCACTGCACTCCAGACTGGGCGACAGAGCCAGACTCTGTCTAAAAAAAAAAAAATGTACAACTACATAAAAAGATGTATCCAAACTAGAAAGGTTTAAATGATAAATTGATGGATTTGTGTTTCCTATGGAAGAGGGTACAAAGCACAGTGCTAATATACATATATAGGGGAGAAGAGGGCAGGGCTTTTATAAAATGAATGCAGTCAAATCTTGGGAACAGTTTCTTTAGTGGCCTGAATATTAGAGAGATGATTCATGAAATTTCAACTTACTGCCATGTCTAGAAATATCAAGACATAGCTAGCATTTTTTTAAAAAATAAATTTTTCTAAACAAAACTATTAATGAGATGAATGAGGTGTTTCCTTTTTTTTTTTTTTTTCCTAATTACTTAGTTTGAAGACAGGAAAGCATGAATCTTTTTATTTTCTCTGTAGTTTGCCTTGTGACATTACCACTCAGAGAGATGTTGATACTTCACTTTTCTAGTGTTTACTGATTTGAAGACAAGGTGATGATATTGAATCTCCTTAGGAGCCACCCTGATACTGGAACTCCATTTTATTGTGGTTATACATTTGTTACCGTTTATCTTATATTCACAGTATTGGATCAATTTCACATCAGTATAATTACAAATAATGTTCAAATACACAAAACATTTAATGGTCAAATCCTACACTGAGAGGGAATTTTATTTTTAATCTTTGTGTTCTTATAGAATAATTTGGAAAATAAAGTAACAATTTTATCTTGTATGAAAATGTATTGTCATCATATGTATATCTGTTTTAGAGAAGCACAAAACAGAAACACACATGTTATTTTGGCCATAAACCTAGTTTACACTGGGGCCAATTCTTTGGAGGTGAAGGCGTGGAAAGGAGTGCCCAGATTAGACAGGGTATCTGGGGCTGTGCTTCTCTCAGTTTTCCATGCGGCTCCTAGAGTGTGTTACCATTCTAACATCATCACACATCACTCCCTGACATGAAACAGTCTTGGTAGGAAAGTAAAAAGAGTCATTTTCAAGAAGAAAACTGTTTTTCAATTTCACTTTTATTTTCACAAGCTGGAAAAGAGGTGCTCGATTCCCCAGGAAAAGCTACGGAAAAGTGCTAAATGTTTACAAGAGCAACTACTCCAGTGCTCTTAGAAAGCCCAGAACCTTCAGGATAGAGTATTGTAAGGGAGGACTTTGTTGTATCTCCTTAAAATCACATATGAGCAAAAATCCTAAGTTATATCCACTTCAAGATTCGTTGTGAATCCACCATAGTCTCCTAAAAGGGTTTCTTTCTTCTCTCTGAAAACAGTTCCCTGTCCACAGGAGGCTCAAGGACCATGTACCTTTGTTCTTCCAACTAGGAAGCCCTAGAACAATGCCTGCTCATACATGGACCTCAGGGACCCAAATATGATGATGATGACGATGATGGTGATTGTTATTTTCTTGAGCCAGGGTCTCACTCTGCCAGCCAGGTAGAAGGGCAGTGGCTCCATCTCAGCTCACTGGGATCTCCATCTCCAGAGCTCAAGAGATCCTCCTACCTCAGCCTCTGGAGTAGCTGAAACAGCAGGCACCAACCATCACATTTAGCTTTTTTTTTTTCCACTTTAATTGTAGAGAGGAAGTTCCGTCATGTTGCCCAGGATGGTCTGGAACGCCTGAGTTCAAGTGATCCGCCAACCCCGCTCTCCCAAAATGCTCTCTGTCGCCTGTAGTCCCAGCTACTCAGGAGCTGAGGCAGGAGAATGGCGTGAACCCGGTACGCGGAGCTTGCAGTGAGCCGAGATCGCGCCATTGCACTCCAGACTGGAAAACAGAACTAGACCCCATCTGAAAAAAAAAAAAAAAAAAAAAAAAAAAAAAAAAGAGGAAATATAGACAATGAGATGTATCTGTTTTAAATATGAATAAATAAATCAGTAGTTGAGTGGTTGCAAGGGACCAAAGGTGAAGGAAAAGTGCAGAGACTGGACACAGTGCATTTGTACGGAAGTGAAACTAGTTTATAGAATACAACAACGGTGGACACGTGTAATTATGCCTTTGCTCGGTCCATGGAATATACAACAGCCAAGTGAATCCTAAGAAGAGCTATGGTCTTGGAGTCAGAGTGACGTGTGAGTGTAGGCTAAATGATTGTAGCCAAAGTCCCCATCTAGGAGAGAAAGTTGGTAATAAGGGGGCCTATGAATATGCTGGGGGAGAGGATATCTGTAACCTCTGTTCCTTTTGACCCATTTTGGCATGAACCTAAAGGTTTTCTATGAAATGAGCTCTATTTTTAAAACAGTAATGTAAACTTATTTTGTGAGTGTTGATTATCCTGGAATTTCCTGTTTGGTGCGTGATATATGCATTGCATACATGGGCATTAAATTTCTACTACAAGTATCAGAGAAGCCTGTTAACCGTGTATTGAAATAGGGGCCTTTTGTTTGTGTGTTGTGTCTTCTGCTTTGCCTTTTCTCATGGAGCCAAAGGTATGAAGGTAGCAGCTGTGGCCTCAGTTCAGCAGCAGCTCAGTAAACTCAGGGTCTTCACTGGGCCTCATGGCATTTCCAAAGTTGGCAAATGGAAACAAAGCTCAGCCCCAGTACCAAGGTAAGAAAAAAAACAGGCGGCCTCAGTGACAGGCCCATAGGACCAGTTGATCAAAAAGCCACAGCTTCGCCTGAAGACTACCTGCAGATTCCCATGAATATCACTTTGGGAGAGAAAAATGCCCCCAAGAGCATCCCTGTTAGAGGTTTTCTATCTTTCCCTCCCCGTTTCACCTCATCCTCCGGGAACCTGCGAGACACCTCATGATCGCACCTTTGGTGTTTTGCAGCAGTCACCAATGTCGTGTAACATGCAACTTTACTCATATGTCTTTTTCATTGTAATGACTTCCATGTAAACTTTCAGAATCTCCTTGGAACCCAGAATTTTATCTAACTCGCACCTACCATCCCTCCCATGATGCACACAGCAGAGGTTCCTCCCTCCCTGGGGGTGTGTGCAGAATCCGGGGACTTGATTGGGTTTTCACAGCCCTGGTGAGATTGAGGATCTAGTGAAGCAAGGAATACAATGGAAGGTAGCAGGGAGGGCCTAATGCAATCATCTGAGCTCCTTATAAGAGGCAGGGCTTTACCGAGACCACAGAGATCTCCAGTCAGAAAGAGACTGCCTGCGAGGGAGATTCCTGGCTGCTGCTGTGTAGACCAAGGAAACCCACGACCCTCCAGGAAGACTAGAAGCCCGGCCTCCGACCCACAGACCTGAGAGCTGGTAAGTCTGGGGCTGGGTTTGCAGGGACTAAGTGTGTGGGAGAGTCATGCGCATGGACCTCAACTCACAGGCTCTCTGAATCCTGTCCCCAGCACCACTGCCCTCATTTTCAGACGCCAGCACCGCCTGCAGCCGGCCAGGCTCAGCCCAAGGAGAGCGGAGAGGCTAAGGCCCCGAAACATGGCGCGCACGAAGCAGACCGCCCGGAAAGCCACCAACTGGCAGGCCCCCAGGAAGCCCCTGGCCACCAAAGCAGCCGCCAAAAGGGCGCCGCCTAGAGGAGGGATCAAGAAGCCTCACCGCTACAAGCCGGGCACCCTGGCGCTGCGGGAAATCAGAAAGTACCAGAAGTCCACGCAGCTGCTCCTGCGCAAGCTGCCTTTCCAGCGCCTGGTGCGCGAGATCGCCCAGGCCATCAGCCTGGACCTGCGCTTCCAGAGTGCAGCCATTGGCGCCCTGCAGGAGGCCAGCGAGGCCTACCTGGTGAACCTCTTTGAAGACACCAACCTGTGTGCCATCCATGCCGGGCGCGTCACAATTATGCCTGGAGACATGCAGCTGGCCCGCCGCATCCGCGGAGAGGGTGCTTAAGAGCCCACGCTTCTGGGAAACGTTGCACTCTAGAAGACTTCTTTTCTACTTGGTTGTGTTTTCTTTTTTCTCTTCCCCCTGTAACTGGTAGTTCTGATGTGAGAAGTTTTGTTCTGTTTTGGTTTCTTTTCCCTCCTGGGGTCCAAAGGTAGCTAAGCATAGGATTGCCAGTGGAAACGTAGGCAGAAATCAGGTGGCGGTTGTGTCTGTGTGTGCTTCTGTTAGGAAACGTCTCATCTACCTTGAGGCTCCCAAGGCACTAGTGTCAAGCAGAAATGTGTCTGTGAGCGAGTTTCAGTTCAACTCTGTAAAATTATAAAGAAGTCTGTTTTTTTCTTTACTATGTCTGCATATGGGTTCTGTAAACAAAATAAATTTCTTATTAATGAGAGCTAAAAGATGTTTATTGCATTTTGTGAAACAGTAGATTCCAGGTATACTTGGAGGTTTTATGTATGCAACTCTGTGTTTTCAATGTTCCCTGTCTCCTGTGATGTTTCCACTAGTTTGCTATGAAAATACATTAAACTCCATTGTCTACAATTTGAATAAATTCTCTATTTACAAATTACTGCACATTGTGGAAGCAGTATGAGTAGAATCCAGTGGAGTATATCTGTGTGTTGAAGGGAGTCAGAGGCATCCATTGGGAGTCTGATGCAGTCCATCTCTGGTGGCCTATATCCCGGAGTGTGGTCATTGTCATGGTTGGAATGGTCAAGGCCTTGGCCACGCAGGTTGTAGAAGAGGCTCTGGACATGTGTGAGATCTGAAAAAGAGATGCCCCTGAGAAAGCTTGCCTGCACATTTAAGTTTAAGGGCCACATTTTTATCAAGTACAAAAAATTATGTGATTTTCAGCCCAAGACTAGAAAAGTAATCCTGTTCCTGAGGGAAGAAGTACTGGCTCCGTCTTCCAATGACAGAAGACTGTATGCTGGAGCTTCCGCATCTCAGTCTATCCTGGACCCACCCTCGATTTTAACACCTTCTCAAACTCTGACATGGTCTCACCTAGATCATGGAAGCAGCCTTTTTCATAATCACTTTGACTACATATTTGTTCCTCCTTGAGTGAATTGAATCATTTTTCTACATCTTCCCTGTTGGAAGAAGAAAAGTGCATGGTCCCTGAGCACCTTTGGAACAGACAGCTGCTTTGAGAGAGAAACACCTCCCAAGAGACTGTGATGGTTTCACATTGAAGCCTGAAGTTGCTCTGCCTTAGGATTATTTCTGGGTTTTCTTTTCTTATCATAATCAGTTACTAGTTGATATTTTCTGTTGGATTTTTTAGAAAGGGCTTACTGATAAGATTATGACTTTCTCATTAAAAATACTACTTTGGTGAAAGTATATTAAAATTAACAATACTCGAATTTCCAATACTTACATATACAATAGTTGAACATGGCATGGTAGGTGAAAGTGAGAAGTAGAATTTGACAAACACCATTTTACCAAACATTAGTATGTTCCCTTGAATATATGACTAAGAAAAGCTAAGTAATTAGGGGGGAAAAAAAGAAACACCTTATGTATCTCTTTTATAGATTCGTTCAGAAAAAAAAACACTCTTTACAATGTCTTACTATGTCTTGATATTCCTAGACATGGCACTGACTTAAAATTTCATGAATCGTCTCTCTAATATTCATGTTACTTAAGAAACTATTATAAAAGATTTGACTGCATTCATTTTATAAGAGCCCTGCCCTCTTCTTCCCTACATATGTATGTTAGCACTCTGCATTGTACTCTCTTCCGTAGAAAACACAAATCCATCAATCTATCATTTCAGCTTTTTTAGTTTGGGTACAACTTTTTGTGAGTTATACTTTTAAACTTTTTACTTTGTACTTTTAAAGACTAGACCCTAGATAATATGTGCTTCAGAATAGTGGAGCTAGATTACTTAAACTTTATTTGGGCATACGGTAAGCACTTTTGTAGGGCAAAGGCAGGCAATGAGGATGTTAAGCTTATCCCACAATACTAAATTATTGAAAATAGTCAAGTACAGTCACTTTACTTGTTAGGAATTTCATCACCACCTTACCAGCATCCAATCAGACACCACATTTTTCTAGGCAGTCTCCAAAGGCACATTATGAGATAGACATTAAGAATGGTAATGAAGCTCCACGAAAAACTTCATTGTCATTAACATGTAGTACAACCAGCCATGAAAGGTATCAAAGATTTCTCCTGGAAAGATACCACGTTCTACAGACTCCTTTCTTGAGAACTGTGGCTATATGATGTTATATATTGAGAAGATTTTGAATGTGTAGGGAAACTGAAACTTCCCAGCTAATCCATTTTTCCTCTTTGAGAAACAGCACTGCGTTCCTGCTCCTGAGCTGACCTCTGAGATCTTGATGGGAACTTGTTTCTGTCTTCAGCAGTTCAGCTTTACTCAGACCCCACTCAAAGCATGGAGTTCTATGGGGGACCGGAAAAACGTTCTGAGCGCATGTGTCCAGTCACCACTGTCACTGCTCTCTGCAGTGGCTCATTCCCACTTCAGGCTGCTTGGGCCAGGTTTTCTTTACTCTGTTGTTAAGAGATGGCTCGGCCTGCCACGTCTGCCAGAACACAGCTCCCAAGATTCCTCAATGCCATGGGAAAGGGATGAGCTGACAGCCATCTAAAGACTGGGAGATATGAAGTCTCTTGGATCTTACTTCTTTTGGATGATCAAGCACTTTAATTCCTGAGAGAGCCCTCCCATCTCCATCAGTTCTTCCAAGGACCTGTACCCTCCTGTGTCTCTTTAAGACACACTGGTCTAACTTGTTATACGCCTCTACAGGGAAGTTGGTAAAATAAAAGGAAAGCTAAACAATGTCAGAATATGGAGGTATGAAACAGAATTTCCCCATGCTTGGTAAAGTTTAGAAATTTATGTAATGCTCAGCCAAAGATAGATCCTATGTACAATAAGTTCTATTTTAAGAGCAAAAGCGGAGTGTATGAGGAAATAAAACATTTTGTGGAGGTATCTTTGGCTTCAAGAAGAAAGAATAGATGTTATTCTCCACTCGATATGAGAACTGAACTGTGGGGGCTTTTAGATCCTTTTTGCTTATACTCTGTGGTTCAGGGGGCACATGGCAAAGGTAAACAGATCCTGAAATAGCACCGTGGATATCTGGGAGCTGTGCTGGGAAGGTTCACAGTGATTCCATAATAAATCTCAGGTCTTTATTCTATGATGAAAAAGTAAAGGTAAAGTAAAGGATGAACAAGTGGAGTGTGGAATAACTTTGTAACTCCTGATGAACCTACTTTTTCTGATATTTTAATAACTTCTTTTCCTCTGTTGCTGTACTCGGGTTTGATTTTCTGAACGGATCACTGGTAGAATGAATAAAATCAAGAATACTCTAGGCTGGGTACTGTGGCTCACACCTGTAATCCCAGCACTTTGGGAGGCCAAGGCGGGCGAATCATGAGGTCAGGAGATCGAGACCATCCTGGCTAACACAGTATAACCCCTTCTCTACTAAAAAATACAAAAAATTAGCCGGGCATAGTGGCAGGCACCTATAGTCCCAGGAACTCAGGAGTCTGAGGCAGGAGAATGGTGTGAACCCGAGAGGCAGAGCTTGCAGTGAGCCAAGATCGTGCCACTGCACTCCAGCCTGGGCGACAGAGCGATATTCCATCTCAAAAACAAAACAAAAAAAAGAATACTCTAAAGCAATGTTTTGAACTAAATTTGGATACCTATAGAAGCACCACAGCAAACCTGAGCTATCAATGTGCTCTTTCTGTGTCTTTTAAACAGCTTAGATGATCATTACAAATGGTTGTTTGCAGAAAGGTGGTTTTTGAATTCTGTTTCTGTCACTCTAGTCTTATAAGATGCTCTTATATTATGTTACTTTATAATAAAGTAAAGGATCACTAGCTGACATAAAGCACAGTAGGTAGGAATATGAGAACAGTCAAATGAGAGAAAAAAATGCTTTGTGATTTTATCTTTATTTCTGCAGGCTGGAAAACAGTTTAACAGTTTAACTGTTTTTATGATGACTCATCAAAATCCATACCAGAATTTAAAATACATACAAGGACAACAATTCCAGTGCCCCTGCTCAGGCACAGCCTTCAGGGCAGAATATCACAAGGGAAAAGTTTTTGGAGGCTTCACTTATTGAAACCCAGACATAAGCATAAAAGCTAAAACACAGCAACTCCAGGCTTCAGTATGAAACCATACAAGACTCTTGGAAGGGATTTCCCTCTCTGAAAGCAGCTATCTGTCTACAGAATGATCAAGACCCATAGACCTTTCTTCTTCCAACTAGGAAGACACATAAAGATGACTCAATATGTCCTAGGCGACCCAATTATTTACTCAAGGCGATTATGAAACAGTGTCTCAGTTTGAAAAAGACGTTAAGATTGTGGCAAATCCAGGGTAGACAGATGCAGAAACTCCAGCAAACATAGTCCTATCATATCAAGACTGGATGCAGTACTTATTTCTGCACAAACAGATCTTTCCCTCTGGCCTTCGGCCTAGAAGAACATGATTTTTTTTGTAGTTGCTGTTAGGGAAGAGGCCCTTGCGCTTTAACCTGCGAACAGCCTCCCTTAAATGCTTGGGCTGAAGCGGGGGCGTTTCTCCCCACATCTCACACACGTCCAGGGCCTCTTCCACCACCTCTCACCAAGACTTGGCTATTCCAGCCATGGCAATGGCCGTGTTCTCAGACACCGACCTGCCACTGATAGACCCATCAGAGACGTGCAACGCGTGCTTTTGGGAAAGCTGACCGGCGACACACTTCATAGCGGGCCAGCTGCTCCTCAGACATGGCGGACAGCAGGGTGCTCATCCTCTGAGCCTCCTCTGCGTCCACCGTGGGCTTCCTCTCCTTCTTGCCTTTGGTGTCTGTTTTCAGTCTTTTGGCTGCAGGGGGAGCTGAGGCTGAGGCTTCGTTATCGCCTTCCGTCAGGTCCGTGACATCCTGACTCCTGAGCTCACC